CTATGCACTTAGTGCTATGTACTGTACTCAATGCACTTAGTACTATGTACTTAATGCTATGCACTTAGTGTAACAGTCCATGCTATGCACTTAGTACAGTATGCTCTTAAATTCTTAATGCTATGCCAAATCAAGGTCACATTCCGTAAAGAACCTGTAAATCATCAACTAAGTGCGGATGCACGTAATGCTATGCACTTAGTCGACACTTAATTAATGCTATGCACTTAGTGTGCACTTAATCAATGCGATGCACTTAGTATATTGTGCACTTAGTGTAGTATGCACTTAGTATAGACTGTATAGTATCATATTAGTATGCACTGAATGTTATGCCGAATCGAGGTCAGCCTCAGCAAAGAGCCTGTAAACCGACTAAGTGCATATGCACGTAATGCTATAATGCACTTAGTTTGCACTTAATTAATGCTATGCACTTAGCATGCACTTAGTACCCACCTGTTTGTTGCCTGTGAGTGTGCACTGAATGGTATGCACTTAGTGTGGGCTTACCCGACAGACAGTGCAAAGAGCTGCAACCCTAATGAGCCGTGAATGCTATATAGATTGACCCTTGAGGCTTTGATGCCATCCCCTACCAGACGACCAGCAGTACTGTGGCGCTCCTCTCCCTGAGACGATTCGACACGAACAGCAACGTCGTGGCCTTGTGCTTGGGATAATCGGTAGAAGGCGCCCACGCTATTGAATGAGGCCCACGTACGCGATTTTGAAAAACAAGGGCCCTACCGGTTCATGAATCTGGCGCAGAAACAGCGCCAAATTCTTGAACCGGTAAAAACAGGCCCAGGGAGATTTGGCCACGGCGCGAAGGCCCCTTTCACCCAAGCGAAAGTTGTTTGGGCCGGTAGTACCAAACGGCCGAACTTTGGGCGGCCAAAACCGAAAAGGTTTTGGCGTGGGCTCTTTCTACCGATTATCCCTTGTGCTTGTCCATCATCTCCTCTCTTCCTCGTCTCCCTCCACATGAATGACGACTCCCCTTCACCAGTTCTCTATGGTACACTGGCACCTGGAAAAGAAGCCATGGTCACACCATGCACGGCTTCTCTTCCAGCGGACGTACATCTATGATCTCTCTCCTACTTCATGCATAGCACAGGAAGACGCGGTAGTAGTACCTGATCTGGAGTCTGGACTACTTATGACAACCATTGACAAACGAAAGAAAACAAAAAAAAAAACACCATTCGACTAAATTAATATGGCATAAAGGGGAGTCGCAGTCGAGTTCTCTATGGTTTACCCCGGAGAGTCGGCGGAGAGTCGGCGGAGACCATGTATGTCGAGGAATGGCCAGAAAGCAGCGCCAGCGGCTCAGGCAGGGCCGCCATGACCGTCGCCGCGTCGCCGCGTCGAGTCTCGTCTTCTCCACGGACCTCCAGGCTGGCGTTGAGATGGCACCACCTCTGGAGCTTCGCCTCAGTTCCTGCTGTCTTTTTTACTGGATCCATCAAGGCAATGAATCTCCCGTTAATACAAAGCCAGGTTCGGAATCCTTTGAATCCACAATAACCATTCACTCCCTCCGGCCCCGCTGGGCCTCTTGCTTCCCGATTACGAACGTGCTCCTCAATTTGAGCCTCATTCATCCTCTCTCTCTCTCTCTCTCTCTCTCTCTCTCTCTCTCTCTCTCTTTCCCTCCTCTAATTGTTCATGCTCAGCATTCGGAGAAGCGCGGCGGCGACAACAGCCTTGGCAGCCGACCCGGCGGCGTCATCGTCGGAGTCGGCGCCGCCTCCTTTCCCGGTCCTCTCCACTTCGATGACGGCGGCCGTGCCGCGCCCCCCTGCAGCGATGAAGTTCGCATGCCTGCAGGGCACCAAGCAGTTTACCTCCCGGAGGTAGCTCACCGAGAAGGAGGAGACGATCTTGCAGCTCGTCTCGTTCCACACTTTGATCGTGGCCTTGTCGTCCGCGCTGACCAGGTAAGGCATCGCCGGATGGGGGAAGAAGGCCCTGGGAGTGCCCGGGTGAACGCCGAACGTAGCCAGGCAGCTCCCCTTCTTCCAGTCCCAAATGACAAGCTCGCCCGTGTCGCTCCCCTGCGGCAGGTGGGTGCTGGCGAAGAGCAACGGCGTTTGCCACTCCTTCCATCCGAACTGCACACTCATCACTTTGTTCCTGCACCGCAGAGTCTTCAGGTTGGTCTCTCGACTCCACACCTTGATTGTCATGTCGACGGAGCAGCTTGCGAACGTTCCGGCGTCCAGGGGATGGGCAGCCACGTCCACCACCAGGTCGGTATGGCAGTTCTTCAGAGATACGTGCTTCCATTTGGGACTCCAGAACCAGAGTTTGACTTTGGACCCCGCAGCGGTCAGCATCATGGGGAGAAGAGGGTGGACGGCGATCTTCCACGTCAGCGATTCGTTATTAGCGCAGATGCTCTTGATCTCCTTCAACCTGTCGCCGCGCTGCTCGTACACGTGAATGTAGTCGTGATCTGTGAGAATGACCCAGTCCTCTTGCGGGACGAACTTGGCCCTTGCCACCCTCTTGTGTGGGATGCTGCAGGAGGCCACCAGCTGTCCCGTCTCGTAGTTCCATACCTGCAGAGTCCCCTCGTCGCCGGCCACGAGGAACCAAGGCCTGGAGGCCAACGGGTGGATGTCCACAGAGTAGTCCTCGGTGCTGCTGGCCCCATCGTGGCGGAACTTGGTGCTCAATTCGCAGTCATCCTCCATACTTATTACCCCTTTTACAAACTAATCCACTCGGCGCCGAGACAAAAAAAAAAAAAAAAAAAAAAAAAAAAAACCACTCGGCGGCGAAAAGTTCGCGAGAAGCACCTCCCTTCCCCCCGCCGCCCTTCCTCCTAGCTGGCTTCAAGTGTCTATAAGACACGCACGTCGGATATAATAATAACAGTAATAATAATAGCAATAGAGATAATAATAAAAATAAAAAACAACAATAATAATAAATAATAAATAAATAAGAACAAATAATAATAATAGTAG